GGTGATGGGAAACCCGAAGGGATTATAATTGACATGGAAAAAAAAAATGTACAAAATGATGTAAAAATAAACTTATTAAAAAAAAACTAACAATTTTTAAAACTTTATAAAAAAATCTAAAAATTATATAATTAGTAAAATGTGCATACCTTAGACATTCATTAAGAACCTTGGGCTCATCTGGCTGTATTTTCTCAGATTGTGATGTAACTTCTTCACAGTCAACATTTTTACATGGCTGATCTTCTATTTGTTCAGAAATCTTAATATCAAACAAAAGTTTCTTTTTAGTTTTAGTGTTCATTATTAAAACACTCATTTATAAATGATTTCACTAAAAAAATTTCTGATTTGAATAAATGGAAAATGCTAAACATATCAAAATTATAAACTGATATAAAAGGCTAATTCAGTACACTTTTTTAATGTTTCTACCTGAGTTATCTTAGAAAATTTCATATGGCTCTCCCGGGTGGTGCAATGGGTTAAAACGCAGCAGTATGAAGCTAGCAGCAGCTACTTGCAAGAGTTTGATTGCCAGCCAGGGAAGTGACCCACATGTCACAGCAGACTTCCCCTGTCTCACCCACTGCTCCCCTCTGCAGTATATTTCCTCAATCTGCCTATTCTGCTCCCACTCTGTCTCTGGTGAATCCTCTCACCACCACTGCATCTCTGGCCTATACCCCAGTTCTGTATCCATAAACACATAAATCTTTTAAAAAAGAAAATTTCATATACCACACCTTTTACTTCAAAGACCCCATTTTTCTCCTCTGAAATAGAAAGCAGGTAACTGCTTCAGCCTCAGCTGTTAAAATTATTCTGTGGAGTTCTACCTTTCTGATTAATATGGCCATATTAAACAAAGCCAACAGGAATTTTAACAACAACAAAAACAGCAAATCTCAATTTATGCCAACTTTTATCATTATAAGGATTAGGTATTATGCAATTATTCTCAAATTCATGGTATTTTCAAATATTATTATTCTTGGTGTTGCATTTTAGCAAGGAGCTTTTACTACTCAATTCTATTTAAGTCAATATTAAAATTCATATTTAGCTAATTTTCCCTTTTTTAAAGGGAAAAATAATTCAATTAATTCAAAAAATAATTCAAATAATTCCACTGCTGAACAATGGAAGAAAAGTGCAAATATGAGGTAAGGTGAAGACAAACATCCCATCATATTGCTCAAAAATCTAGTGAGTCAAGAGTTAAATAGCTTTCCAAGTAGCAAAGCTGCTGGCCATGAGATTTGGCCTTGGATTTAGTGAACAATTTATACAACTGTATAATGTTTAAAAAAGAAGGATGAAAGGAGACTTATCTGCATGCTTAATAAAACAAAAACTGTGAGGAATCAGAGTACTTACATCTTCATCAATGCAGGTTTCATTTTCAATCTTTTGTACATTATCCCCTGTTTTTTCCTGTGATGTAAGAGTTTCTTTTCTTTCAGCAGCTTTACTGACATTTGGTTTTGGCCTCTGCAATCGGCCTCTCATTAGTTGTGCCGGTCTTAAAGTCTTTGGTTGTTCATCTGCCTGCAGACCAGTCTTGTCACTCAAACTAGGAGAATTATAGGAATTAAATCAGGGCCTCCCAGGTGGTGTAGGGGTGACGTCTCAAGGCTATCACCACTAAGTGCTGAGTTGAATCCCTGGCCAGGGAGCTAACCACATATGGTGCAACAGACCTCTCCTCTCTTGCCTGCTGTTCACATTAGCAGTGTATTTCAGTGTATTTGCCTGTTTTGCTCCCCACTATGTCTCTGGTGAATCCTCTGCACCTCTGGCCTACACATACAAGTAACCTAAAGAACATCATCAAAGATATTCATATTTCTGTATCTTAACTCTTAAGAATAGACATAATCCTGGAAATCACTTTACAGAAAAGTATTTTAAAATCAAATCTTTGTTACAAAATTGGGAAAATCTGTATCTAACAAGCATGTAACACTATTCAACACTCAGGATATTATTATGAATGCCCATCTACAGGGTACAGGATACAGAATACAGAAAAAATGGTACACTTTTGTACAGCCCAGAATCCACAGCTTCAGATTCACATTAGAACAATTATTATTGATTTCCAAGTAAAATATTCTCTTTTGAAACTCCTTGAAATCAATAAAACTAACCAGAAATGTGTATTTTTTTTCATTAATTTATCTAACAAGACTTGATGGAGAAGTTGCTAATTTAATTGACCCACACTATAATGCACTTCAACAATGTTAAGCAAAAAATATACCAGCTGAAAATAAAATTCAGACATTATCATGTAGAAAATAAGGATACAATAGTATCCCAGATATACTATTTTTCTTTTACTTCCTGAATACTTACTTAGATACAGCCTCAGTCTCTGGATTTTCTTTCTCTGTATTCTCCATTCCAGAAATATCAAATGTATTCATTTTATCAATTTCCATGTTATCCTATGAATTCAATTTTTACATTTAATCTACTAAACATAAAAAGTTCAAACTTTGTATAGATAAATGGCAATTAAGAAAGATTTCTTTTTTTACTTTTAATTAGTTGAGTTCTTTTAGTCCTAAATGAAGAAAATATCATAAAACAAAGTCTCCAACATTACTGAAACACATACAAATTTTTATATCCTTTTTGGAACATTTTTAAAACAGCATGAATCAACAGCCTTAAAATGCTCATATTCTGACCAAGTAACACAACTTTCAATACTCTAAGAAAATATTCAAAAAAGATTAAAGTATTGGGATGTTCAGTGGGGCATTATATAAAGTAGCAAACATTGTAAAGACACAAGATATTCAATAATGAATAGTCAAATTCACATATACCCACTGACAGAAAATTATGAAGTCACTAAAAACCACATCTGAAGCTATTTAATGATCTGGGGAAATATTTATAAAATGTTAAATACCAAAGAAGGATACAAAACTGAATTAATATTTCCATTTAATTTTGTACGGGAAAAGTACAGGATGTATGTTAAAATATTGGCTATAGCTGGATAATGAAATTACAAGCAATTTTTGTATCAATTTTTACATAAACCTGCTTTTCTCCCAATTTTCAGAATTTAAAAACAGCTGACAGATTACAACAACATAATCACATTATTAAAAGAATGCTAAAACATTTTTATTCCCAAGTATCTAAGAAAAATTTTTACAACTTTACTTTCCATTTAGTCTATTATTCCATACCTTTTCAATTGAAGTTTCTGGATGTAAACTCTTGCTCTCTGCATCTGTTTTACCTTGTGAAAGAACTGATTTCTTCCCAACTGCCCTTGATAAATTTGGTTTGGGTCTCTGGAATCGTCCTCTTACCATTGGTTTTACATTTTCTGCTTGGTCAGTTTCCCTAAAAAATTAACATTAAGACTGAATCCAAAGGAAGATTTTTGTAGTGCTTTTATAGTAAACACTTTAAATTCAACCAGTTATTTGTATACTAGAAAACATATTCATATTCACTGTCTACTAGAAAACATTCTCTAAAGTCATTTGATGTTGATCAAAAACTACTACTTTGACAACAAACATGAAAAATAATACAAACCAAATAAAAGTTTAACTAGAAAATATTAAGGCTTCAAAATTTCATCATGTTGACTTTGCTAAACATTGTATTATTATACATCAGAGATGCAAGAAGATTTTTCTGTAGCGTAATATGCAGTGAATAGCCTTAATCACACTCAAATCACAGTATAATTAATTACATATTTCCAAAAACTCATTTTCTAATTCCCAATGAAAAAACTATTTTTTAAATCATAAAAAATCATCAAAAGTTTGAAAAATAAATTCTACCATGTAAAATACTTACAATTTTTTACTTAAGTCAACATTTCTTTCTTCTGTAGAATTAATCTCAGCATTATTCTCCAAACACAGTGCATGAATTCCAACTTCTGATGAAGGTAAATCCAAAATGCTTGATTCTAAAGTCTCACTGCCTACAGACATGGCATCTTGTTGATTACTAAAGAAAATAAAATATACAGGGAAAGATTTTTAGAATTACATGAAATAAACACTTTCAGAAGCAATCCTTCATATCACAAAATAATCATAAATGGGTATTTGGCATTTCTATAATCCTTATTGCATTTTTATAAAAACTGACAAATAGCCAACAGGCACATGAAAAATGGATCTACCATAGGATCCAGTGTCTACTCCGAGTTTTCTATCTGAAGAACATGGAAACACTAATTCGAAGGGATATATGCACCCCTGTATTCTCTGCAGCTCTATTTACAATATTCAAGCTATAGAACCAACCTAAATGGTCAAAAAACAGATCAATGAATCAGGAAGATGTGAAATATATATACATTATATATATATATAATGGAATACTACTCACTTTATGGGGGGGAAAGGATAAAAAGCTCTCTTTGCAACAACATGGATGGAATTGGAGGATTACAATAGGCAATATAAGTCAGAAAGAGAAAGACTAGTACTAGATTAGGTATCACTTATATGCTGGAATGTAAAGAAACAAAACATGGGTCAAATAAACCAAACCAGTAACAAACACTAGAAATCTGATTGCAGAACTAAGGCTATGAGAGGGGAGAAGGAGGAGAAAGAGCCAAGTAGGCTGGGAGCACAACAGACTATGGTTGAGGGTTAGGCACTCTGCTGGTGGGTATGGTGTGGTAACAATACCTGAGTTGGGATCTTATACATTACAAACAACACTGTAAACTAATGTTACCTCAATAAAAACAAATACACAGTTAAATCCTTTTCACAACCTATCATCAGGAAAATGAAATCAAAACCAAAACAAGATATCATACCATATCTATGTCAGTAAGATTGGAAACAACATATAGTAGTGAGAGTGCAGAGAAAAAAGAAGCCTTGTACACTGTTGGTGAGAATGTAGACTGGTCCAGGCCCTATTGCAAAACAGTGTGGAGCTCACTCAAAACATTAAAAGTAGATCTAAAGTAATTCCACCTCTAGGGATCTACCTGAAGAATTAAAAATCACTATTTCAAAGAGATAAACACTCCTATGTTAAGCACTGTTTACAATAGCCATGCTATGGATACAACCAAAATGGTGACCAACAGATGAGAGGATAAAGATTTGATAGACACACACACATACATACACAGACATAGGACTATCATGCAGCTATTAAAAATGAACTCATATGATCTGTGACAACATGGATGGAACTGGCTGGGATTATGCTAAGCAAAGTTAAGTCAGAGGAAAAAGACAAATATACTGGATTTCACTCAGGGTGATCCCATACTTCCAAATTACCAACAAAAACATAAACCAATGTTACCTCAACTTTAAAAATTAAAATAGGGAACCCGCCCTGGTGGTGCAGCAGGTTAAAGCACAGCACTAAAAAGCTAAAGCCACTTCAGCATGAGTTCAATTCCCGCCTGCCCCGGAGGTGACCCACATGGCGTGGCAGATCTCTCCTGGCCGCCCGCTGCTCCCCTCAGCAGTGTAATTCATTAGTCGGCCTGTTCTGCTCCCCACTGTGTCTCTGGTGATGCCTCTCACCACCCCCTGCAACTCTTGACTTGTACCCCAGTTCTGTATGAATAAATAAATAAATCTTTGAAAAAAAATTAAAATAACCAAGGAGCAAATAAAACTAAGCCAAAACAAACTCTACAAATCTGACAATAGAATTTAGGTTACCAAACAGGTTTGGTGGGGTAGCAGAGAAGGGGTCCAATGGACTATGGGATTATAGACTAGAAGATTATGGGTGCTTTAGTGATGGGTATAGCATAGTAACGTACATAAAAGAGGCATGAACCTATACCCATAAATCATACACAGTTCTGTAAATCAATGTTATCTCAAAATACACATACAAAACAACAAAAACAGCACTCACAAATGAACAGGATGGGAAATTGCTCAAGATGTAGCAAAGTGAAAAACTCAGTTATGTGGGATTCACGAAATAAATGTAGTTGTAAAATCATGGTAGTATTCACTTGAAATTTTATGTAAGCAGTCTTTTCTTTCTATAGTACTGGTTTAATCAAAAGCCATGAAAGTCATGGCTCCATTTCCAATATTCACAAGTTGCAGCTGAAACTGAACTATGAAAAGAGAGGATTGCTTTATTATAAAATATTTCAACAATATAAATGATGACTGTGTACTAACTAGCACCTAATTTTAACAGATAAGCACTTTTAGGCACACTTTAATTATGCTCATTTTTTCTAATAGGTGTTTGTTTTCAAATAAATCTGTAAGATCTCTTTATATATTTTGTGGTTAGATGTTGCCCATAAAACCTCCACGCCTTTTCACTTTATGACACCTTTGTCAAAGAGAGTAGTTAATTTTACAGCAGTCAAATCTTACATTTTTTTATTTGTGCTTTTTAATGCCTTAAGATAGCTTTAACAGCACTAATATTTTCCTCTAAATTTTTAAATATTTACTGTATACATGTATTCTTTAATCCACAAAAGTACAGAGGGTGAAACAAGGCTATTAACTTGTTCATATCTCAACGCCATCTACTGAACAGTTCATCATTACGCACTAATTTCTAATGCTACCTGTCATATAACTTTGAAAATTTTAATTTTTTTAAAGATTTATTTTATTTACTTATACATACAAGAACTGGATGTAGGCCATAAATGTAGGAGGTGAGAGAATTCACGAGAAACAGAGTGGGGAGCAGAACAGGCAGATTGACTGAAATACACTGCTGAGAGGAGATGCAGGCCTGAACCTGTGCTGCACGGGTTGCAGATAGATTCATAATGCTCAGACAAAAGCCCATGCACCCCCAGAGTGGCCCTAATTTCGTAGACACTCTTTTTAGACTCAAAATTCAGTACTGATGAGTCAAATTGTCTTTCCCTACAGCACAGTGCTTTAATTACATGTGAGTTTAATTATTATGTGAGTTTATAAAAATTTTCAGAGCATACATAGACCAGTGAACAGAATAGAGAGCCTGGAAACAAGATCACATATGAGCAAATGACTTTTGACAAGGTGCCAAAACTACACAATAGGGTAAGAGTAGTCTCATCAACAAAGTCTCATTTAACAAATGACATGTGAATGCAAAAAAAAAAAAAATTGCAACTTTATCTTAATCATACACAAAAATAATTCAAAATAGCTGAAAAGCTTAAAGGTAACACTTTCATCAATTAAAAAAAAATCTAGAACTAACTATTGGGGAGATACTATAACACTGATATTGGCAATATTTTCTTGGATATGACACTAAAAACAGAGCAACAAAAGCCAAATAGACTGGGGCTACTTCAAAATGAAAAGCTTTTGCATAGCATAAGAAATAGGCATAGAATCATAAGACAAACTACGAAAGAGAGGGACATGTTTGCAAAGGATATACCTGATAAGAGCTTAATATCCAAAATATAAAAAGAATCCCTACTACTCAACAGCAAATAAAATCAAATAACCTAACTAAAAAGGGAAAAGAACTTGAACAGACATTTCTCCAAAAAAGACAATGACCAACAAGTGTACACGTAAGGATGTCCAATTTCGCTAATTATTGGCAAAATGCAAATCAAAACCACAATGAGGTACCATCTTAAAACTATTATAGCCATCTGAAACAAACAGAAAATAAGAAATGATGGCAAAAACACAGAGAAACTGAAACTTGTACACTACTGATGGAAATAGGAAACACAATGGTGGTTCCTTTTTAAAAAATTAAAAATATGAAACTATCATATGATCCAGCAATCCATCTCCTGGGTATTTATCCATAAAAACTGAAAACTGGATCTCAAAGAGATATTTGCACTTCCACATTTCTCCTATGTTTACTGCTTATTCATAAGAGGCAAGAGATAGAAACAACCTAAATGTCCATTTATAAATGAATGGAATTTATGAAAGTATAACATAGACATGTGATGGAATACTATTTGGCTATAAAAAAGGAAATCTGGCAACATACATATTTGTGACAGAGAACAAATACTGCATTTGTCCACTTATATAACGCATCTCAGGTAATATAATATAAAATGATGGTTGCCAGGACTTGGGAGTCAGTTCAATGGCTATAAAACTAACATGCAAGAATTCTAGAGATCTGTTGCAAAACACTGTGATTATAGTTAATAACACTGTACATTAAAAAAATGTGTTAGGAGGGCAGAGGTATGGTTATGTGTTTTTAGCAAAATTAAAACACAAAATTCTGACGGCAGGATATATCACATTTAAACTGCTGAAGACTAAAGACAAAGATAAATTTTTGTAGAATATTATGAATCCATGCAAATACTAACTACAAAAAAGCTGTGGTAGCAAAGCAAGCACAAGAACAAAAATAACAAATCAATACCAGAATGATCTCACACAAATGAAAAAGGGTGCTTTCACCAAGAAGATAAAACATTTCTAGATATGTATGCATGCAACAGAGTTCCAAAATACATGAAGCAAATACAAACAGAACCGAAAAAAGGAATAGGCAAATTCAAACTTACAGTTGGAGATTTTATACTCCTCTGATAGAAAGCACAGGCAAACTGCTGTACAGATATAGACAATACCTGTACAGATATAGACAAAGTCTGTACAGATACAGAAAATACCTTGATGAAAGAATAGGATCAATTCTTTCCTCAACTTTTTCATCAGAGGGAAAACCCACAATGTCATCTATATTCTGAATGCAGGAAAGCGTCTGCTCCTTATTGCCTTCACCTTCATCTATCTCAGGCCTTAAAGAATGAGATTTATCTATAAATACAAAATGCAGGTTATTCTAAAAAAGTGATAAAAACAGATTGTAAAGTACAAAGGAATTTACATGTAATACTGTCTTTTCCTACAAGTTGTTTACCCATTCAACATGTAAGTCATAGAAGATATATATATATAAGAGCATTAATAAAAAATTTAATCAATTTACAGCTAAATGGCTGTACAACAAGCACAGGCAATGTACATTTTACTAATTGTTAATGGGAGTAGAGAGAAGGTAACACATCATAGTCACAAACTTGAAAGAAAAATCTCCCCATTTCACTCTGGGGTTTTTTCCTAACATTAAATTTTTTACTTTAAATTAAAAAATAAAAGGATTTAATATAGTATAATAAATGCAGAACCAATTAATAAGCATCATTAATTGCTATTAACATGCAAGAGCAGTTCTCCTGCCCACCTGTGTTATCTATGCAAGTGCCTCTCCTTTTCTCCTACTAATAAGCCTGTCCTTTCAAAATGTAATAAATGAAATATGTAAAAAACTTACTTTTCTGTTTTTCTCCTTTAGAAGGGCCTGACTGAACAGTAGCATTTCCTGAAATGTCTTTTACTTCCTGTTTGCCAGCTTCATCCTGATTTTTCTTTCTTTTTTTCTTTTGATTTGGGTCTGGTTCCAATACAACCTGTTCTAAATTCTGTCCCGATAAAGTCAGAGTCTGTTCTTCTTCTTCAACTATAGAATGATTGACAGCTTGCACATCCTCTGGAGATCCTTCTGTGTCTGAGATTTTAGTACTCATAGATTCATCTGGATCATCATTCACTTCTTCACTGGCAATTTTTTTCACTGAAAATACAAACAAGAAATTGTTAAAAAATATATAAAAACTACAGAGTTTCTAGAATTGGGGGGAAAATACTCAAAGAAAGAACTGTCCAGTTATAATGCTGCAAAAATCCATGCAGCAAATAGTGGGATACTTTATATATAGCAATGTAAAAGACTTCAAAAATATCACAGATTAGTCCTGTGCCAATGGAAAACAGTATGAATAAACTCAGTTCCCTACAGCTGGATACCTTGATTATCTCAACTATTGAATTTCACATAAATAAATATCCAAAGATTTGAAAGACAATATTCCAATTCTATCATTATTAAGTTAAAAAAAAAAAACAACTTTCTTTTAAAATAAATACCGGGGCCTCCCTGGTGGCACAATGAGTTAAGGAGCAGCACAGCAAAGCTGGCTGCAGCTGCTTCAGCATGAGTTCGATCCCTGGCCAGGGAACTGACCCACATGGTATAGCAGACATCTCCTGTCTCAACCACTGCTCCCCTCAGCAGTGTACATCTATCTACCTGTACTATTCCCCACTCTTTATTTGATGAATCCTCTACCTGCTCTACATCTCTGGCCTGTACCCAATTTCTGTATGCATAAATAAATAAATCTTTAAAAAAATAAATACCTTTTACATTTTTCCGTGGTTTAGAGGATTTCTTTAAAACATTCTGATTTTTAACAGACTTTTGTTTTCTTTTCTCTTCTTCAGCAAGAACTTTCTGAAGCAAATGAGCAAAAAAATCGAAGTCAAAAGGACGCTTTTCCTCTGTTTAAAAAAAGAAAAAGAATCTTCAAGTTTTTAATTAAAATAAAAGAACTTTCAAGTATTAAATATTTTTAAATAGTGTAACATCAAAAGCAAATGGGTTGGTTTATCATAAGCAGAAGAACAGATAAGAAACTAGTGACTGTAGTACAATCATACAATAAAATACCCATGAAGCAATCCAAGAAATAAACAACATTTTTTTAAAAACAAAATAAGGAACTTAGTAATATAAGTAATAATAAAAGTGAATCTCGGGCCCTCCCTGGTGGCGCAGCGGGTTAAAGCACTGCACTAAGAAGCTTAAGCCACTTCCTCATGAGTTCGATCCCCGCCTGCCCCAGAGGATTTATTTATTTGGGCCCTCCCTGGTGGCACAGCGGGTTAAAGCACAGCACTAAGAAGCTTAAGCCACTTCTGCATGAGTTCAATCCCTGCCTGCCCCAGAGGAGATCCACATGGCACGCCAGACCTCTCCTGAGCCACCTGCTACTCCCCTCAGCAGTGTACTTCATCCATTTGCCTGTTTTGCTCCCTACTCTGTCTAGCATGTGTCCTAGATC